GCCCAGCCGCTACATATAGTGCACATGGCAGCCATTTTTCCTGCGTCATTTCCGGTGGTGGGGTTATCGCTCAACTTAAGCTGTCAAGGCCTTCACCACCTGGCTCTATTCACCTCCACCCCACACCGTATTTTTGTGACGGAGCTTCTCTCAGGGCTCTATAAACTACTCTGTGGAGCTCTGCGCACCTACCTATAAAGCACTGGTCGTCTCTGTGGTGCTCTGTAAAGGTCTGATAGTGTCTTTAAAGCTCTAAAGGAATCTGTAAAGATACTTGTAGTTTAAGTATTAATTAAATTCATAAATAATGACGATGACTTTAAGTTTCAATTGCAGTATTTATGAAAGCGAGAAAATAAAGTCATCAGCATATTTATTTCTATTTCTTGCAGTCTAATGTTATTGACCAAACAAAGAGAAAAAACTTATTATGAGTGTTTTGTGAAGTGTTTGCTGTTCCGTCAGGAAATGGACCAAGAAAGCTCAAACGTTCCAGTAATACCTCGTCATTTCCTGGGAGTTAGTCTGTTGGTGGTGGAGGGTCTAGCCTCGTCGTCATGCCTTGTTTGTTTAATACATTATCACGATAAAAGTTTATGGGCCGTGAGCTCCCATCTCATCACGATGGCTCATAAAAACAACATAATACTGACAATGAATACGATAAAAGGAGACATTGTTGACTCTTTTTAGGAGTTTTCACACTTTGACCGAGATTGATGATGATGTTTACATTGTTTTCCGCCAATTGTCTCTACAACTCCTGAGTGTTTCAGAAGACTTTCTAAATGCATTCCTAGAAATATTGATTTTTTTCCAATTTCTATCGTAAGTTTTTGTAGCGTAATTTTAATGATTTACAAGACTTTCCATATCGTTATTTTCCGCCAAAAATCACTAATCCCGGATGTTTTCGTTGTTTCAAAAGACATTCACAAACTCCAAAAAAAAAAGACCCATTTTGTCTTGTTTTATACTAAAATTCTATATTACAAGAAATCATATTTTTTTCGCAGTGGGGAAGATGTGTTCATTATTGTCCATAAAAAAAAACTGGTATAGACTATAATTTGACTTACTGCGCATGACGTCTGCGCAGCTCAGCATATTTATTTTTCTCTCTCCTTTGCGTGTTGTTGTCTTCTGTCTTCCTGTTTATCCTCCTCCTCCTCCTCCTCAAATTTTTTCCTTATCTTCCTCTTCCTGGGACCCGTGTCCTAGATCCCGTGTCCTAGAGCCCGTGTCCTCCCAGAGCCCTGCCCTAGAGCCGTGTCCTCCTAGAGCCCCTGTCCTAGAGGCCCGTGTCCTCCTAGAGACCCTGTCTCCTAGAACCCGTGTTTCCTAGAGCCCATATCCTAGAACCCTGTGTCCTTCTAGAGACCCTGTCCTCCTAGAACCCGTATCTTCCTAGAGCCCATATCCTAGAACCCTGTGTCCTTCTAGATCCCATGTTCTCTAGAGCCCGTGTCCGCCTCCTGCCGTGTCCCTGCCCACTCAGCAGCCATAGTGCGTGTCCCAGCGGGGTAGTTAGTGGCGCTGGTGGTGTGACGTCATGGACAATTTCCTTCCTTCTTGGCGTGATTATGAAGATTGTGGCGCTGGAGCCTTGTGGGTGTCCGTTTATGGTGGTGGTGTTGTGGAGGGGGGGAGGAAGGGTGTGGAGGAAGGGGAGGGGGAGGGTGTGAAGGGGAAGAGGAGGGTCTGAGAAGGGGGAAGAGGGTGTGCAGGAGGGGTGTGAAGGGAAGGGGTGTATGGAGGAGGGGAAGAGGGTGTAGAGGAAGGAGGGAGCGGAAGGAGGGAGGGGAAAGTTTTTTAACCATACAAACACGGGAACAAGGTCATGACGTCATCACAACAGTCTCACGGTAAGCATGTTGTCATTATTGAGTGACTGTGAGCGATAAAGAGTCAGCGAAGGAGTGGGTGATAAATAGTGGTGATAAAGAGAGTGATAAGTGAGCTTTAAAGAGAAAAAAGATAGAGATAAAGAGTGAGTTATAAAAGTAAGCTATAAAGAGCTATGCATCACTTCGCTCGCGACTCACCGGAGACAGGTAAATGTTGGCTTTAATTAAGGTGTGACATTATTAATTTCTTTGTTTAGTGAATCACAACTATTATATATATATATATATATATATATATATATATATATATATATATATATATATATATATATATATATATATATATATTATTTTTATTATAATTTTATTAATATTATTAATATTTTCATGCTCTCAATATTACTGAAAAACACACACACGCACACACACACACACACACACACACACACACACACACACACACACACACACACACACACACACACACACACACACACACACACACACACACACACACAATAAACCGCCTCGTCAGGCTCACTGGCACCGTCCAGAAACATGACACATCTGACGAGCAGCGGAGTGAGACCTTCCCTTCCCTAACCTAACCAACCTAACAAACACACGGACTACTTAACCAATCACCTGTTTGGAGAGAGTTAAGGATAATTGAGAGACAAACAAACAAACAATCAAAGAAGCAAACCTCAAGAGATCAACACAAATGGGTTGTGTTGATCATAATAAAAGACGAGAGTGTATCAGGTGACTCTTGACTCACCTAGAGAGAGAGAGTGAAGTTGGATTACTCTGTGTGTGTGTGTGTGTGTGTGTGTGTGTGTGTGTTACATTTCAGGGTACGATAAGAATGGAGAAGGGTGGGCAGGGGTGGGCAGGGGTGGGCAGGATGGGTGTCGCTCTTAGCCATAATCACAAGTTATTACAGCAGATAGTGATCGTTCTCCAGCCTCGCGTTTTCTCCTGTGTCACGCCCGCAAATGAAGCCCTCCATCCCTTACCCACACCCACCATCCCTCTCACCCACCCCACCCACCAATCCCGTCTCACCCCACCCACACTCTTACCCGCACCCGCCCTCCCTCATCCACCCACCTGCTCACCCGAACCTTGTACTACACCCCATCCTCCATACCCACGTTAACACCCACACAAGGAGAAGCGGCAGGGGAGGAGTGGGGAAGGGAGGAGAGAGGAGAAGTGACCCATTGCGTCTATTTCACAAACACCTACACTGAGCTACACCTTGGTTAATTAACCTACATGGGTACACCTGACTCTTTCTACATCATCCACAGGTGTAGTGAAGAGGGAGGGCAGAGGGAGAGTGTGAGGGGGGGGGGAAGGGAGGGAAATAGTGGGGGATGGGGGATGGAGGATGAGGGGAGGGGGGAATGTTGACAGAGTTTACTTTGGGTGGTTCAGAAGCCAGGACCGTGGGAGAGAAACAGGCATCATCCCGGATGTGAGGCGCCGGGTTGCTTGTCATTCATGCCAGCCACAATTATCATTTCCTTATCAAAACATCTGTATCATCCGCCTGGCGATCATCTGGCGTGAGTTATTATTAATTTGTGCCCTATTAGAGGCGCGGGGGCGTGGTGACGGTGGTGGCGCGGTAATGGGAACGGAAGAGGAAGTGTTATAGGCTAGTGGTGGCGGCCATTGTTTGTGCATGGTTACGTACACACACACACACACACACACACATGAGACACACACACACACACACACACACATACGGACAAATTCAACAGAGAGAATGCCGCCGAACGAAAGGTTATTGGACAATTTTGAACTAAAACTAACCCCATTCAGGTAACTTAACTAGATAATACCTCTGCTAGCTCAGGTAACTTAAGTTCTATCAGGTTAAGCTCGATAATATCTTAAATAACTTTACCATCTACTGCTGTTGTGTTGACATTTCTTCACACTAGGATCCTCAAAACTTAATGAACTTAAACAGGAAAAATATGTTAATTAGCGTGTTTATATACCTGGCAGGTGACTGGATTGACTTTAAAACTAACAAGAAATGTGGAGGAAAATATAAGTTAAGATCACCTGAAGAATAAACACTAACCTAACCTAACGCTAACCTAACCTAATCTACAACCCTAACCCAGCCTAACCTAACCCAACGCTAACCCAACCTAACCTAACCATAAATATGAACCATTAACATTAAAAACTATACAGAGATGAACTCAAGACTAGGACGAAATTGACACCCCCCCCCCCACACACACACACCCCCACACACCCCCACACACACACACACATACCCCCACACACACACACACATACACCCCCACACACACACACATATATTTTACACACACACACCCACATATGGTCGCGTGTTACTATATCTTTTAAACCCAAATTGGATGCCAATCACCTGAGCCATTTATTTGTGAAGTAATTTAGTCTCCATAGTGTTCAAACAATGGCCCCTGAGCCGGGTTATGGGGCGTCACCTCTCCTCTCATTGAACGGATCGATTATAAATGACTGATGATTAGCCAATAAGAAATTACACAAATACATTCAGCCTCTGTTTTACGTATGCAAATGGGGACCTTTGTGTTTTTAATTGTTTTTTGCGTTATGTATTTATTGTTTTATCTGTGTGTGTGTGTGTGTGTGTGTGTGTGTGTGTGTGTGTGTGTGTGTGTTGTTAAATATGGTATGAATATTAACACGTGTAATGATGATGATGATGATGATGATGATGATGATGGTGATGATGATGATGATGATGATGATGATGATGATGATGATGATGATGATGATGATGATGCTGATGATGATGATGATGATGATGATGATGGCATGGTAATAATGATAATAATAATAATGATAATAATAATGATGATAATAATAGTTGATAAAAGATAGATAGATAGATAGAGAGAGAGATTGGCCATCTTTGGCTGACCTTGAAATTGAACTCAAAGAATGTTGGTGGATCACAGCCCGACCAACACCCGACTATCTCCGACTAAGGAACCGACCGCTATTCACCCAGTATCCGACATCCGACTAAAGAAGGAACCACTACCCGATCAAGAGGACTAGCAAAACCCGACCACAAACCTGGACCCGACTACATTACGACCAATTAACGGTATGGGACCCGAAAATCTCCAAATACCTCTCAGTGTCTCCAACACCTCCCAGTGTCTCAAGTACTTCCTCAGTGTCTCAAATACCTCCCAGTGTCTCCAAGGACCTCCCAGTGTCTCCAAGTACCTCCCAGTGTCTCAAGTACCTCCCAGTGTCTCCAAGTACCTCCCAGTGTCTCCAAGTACCTCCCAGTGTCTCCAAATGCCTCCCAGTGTCTCCAAGTACCTCCCAGTGTCTCCAAGTACCTCCCAGTGTCTCCAAGTACCTCCAGTGTCTCCAAGTACCTCCAGTGTCTCCAAGTACCTCCCAGTGTCTCCAAGAACCTCCCAGTGTCTCCAAATACCTCCCAGTGTCTCAAGTACCCCCAGTGTCTCCAAATGCCTCCCCAGTGTCTCCAAATCCTCCCAGTGTCTCAAACCCTCCCAGTGTCTCCAAGTACCTCCCAGTGTCTCCAAATACCTCCCAGTGTCTCCAAGTACCTCCAGTGTCTCAATGCCTCCCAGTGTCTCCAAGTACCTCCCAGTGTCTCCAAATGCCTCCCAGTGTCTCAAATACCTCCCAGTGCCTCCAAATACCTCCCAGTGTCTCCAAGAACCTCCCAGTGTCTCCAAGTACCTCCCAGTGTCTCCAAATACCTCCCAGTGTCTCCAAGAACCTCCCAGTGTCTCCAAATACCTCCCAGTGTCTCCAAGTACCTCCAGTGTCTCAAGTACCTCCAGTGTCTCCAGTCCTCCAGTGTCTCCAAATACCTCCCAGTGTCAAGTACCTCCAGTGTCTCCAAGTACCTCCCAGTGTCTCCAAATACCTCCAGTGTCTCAAGTACCTCCCAGTGTCTCCAAGTACCTCCCAGTGTCTCCAAAGTACCTCCCAGTGTCTCAAATACCTCCCAGTGTCTCCCAAGTACCTCCCAGTGTCTCCAAGTACCTCCCAGTGTCTCCAAGTACCTCCCAGTGTCTCCAAGTACCTCCCAGTGTCTCCAAGTACCTCCCAGTGTCTCCAAGTACTCCAGTGTCTCAAGTGCACTCCCAGTGTCTCCAATTACCTCCCAGTGTCTCCAAATGCCTCCCCAGTGTCTCCAAAGCCTCCCAGTGTCTCAAGTACCTCCCAGTGTCTCCAAGTACCTCCCAGTGTCTCAGCACCTCCCAGGTCAAGTACCTCCCAGTGTCTCCAATGCCTCCCAGTGTCTCAAGTGCCTCCCCAGTGTCTCAAGTACCTCCCAGTGTCTCCAAATGCCTCCCAGTGTCTCCAAGTACCTCCCAGTGTCTCCAAGTACCTCCCAGTGTCTCCAAATGCACCTCCCAGTGTCTCCAAGTACCTCCCAGTGTCTCCAGAGTACCTCCCAGTATCTCCAAGTGCCTCCCAGTGTCTCCAGAGTGCCTCCCAGTGTCTCCAAGTACCTCCAGTGTCTCTAAGTACCTCCCAGTGTCTCCAAGTACCTCCCAGGTGTCTCCAAATACCTCCCAGTGTCTCCAGAACCTCCCAGTGTCTCCAAGTACCTCCCAGTGTCTCAAGTACCTCCCAGTGTCTCCAAGTACCTCCAGTGTCTCCAAATACTCCCAGTGTCTCAGAACCTCCCAGTGTCTCAAGAACCTCCCAGTGTCTCCAAGTACCTCCCAGTGTCTCCAAGTACCTCCCAGTGTCTCCAAATACCTCCCAGTGTTCCAAATACCTCCCAGTGTCTCCAAGTACCTCAGTGTCTCCAAGTTACCCAGTCTCCAAGTACCTCCCAGTGTCTCCAATGCCCCCAAGTACCCAGTATGGTAGTCACAGGTACGAGTAAAATAGAGCGAGTCCTAGAGGCAATCAGGTGATAAAAATAGAGGTGAATAGGCGAATCTTTAGAGCGACCAGGTGAGAGTAAAATAGAGTGAATGAGGCAGATCTTTAGGGCCAGAGTGAGTAAAATAGAGGCGAGGCCTTAGAGACCAGAGTGAGACAAATAGACCGAATAGAGCGAGTAATTAGGGCGGCCTCAGACACGTCATTGTGGATGGCATTCACACACTTCCAGAATTTAGGAAAAGACCCACAAGGCGTGTTTTGGCAGCCACACAATGATGGCCACACACACACACACACACACACACACACACACACACACACACACACACACACACACACACAGGCATACACACACACACACACACACACACACAGACACACACACACACACACACACACACATACACACACTTCAAGCCCTCGTCACTTGAGTCTTTTGAATCCATCGACCACAATTGTCTGTCTGTCTGTCTGTCTGTTAAGTTTCTCTTTATGTACGTTTATTTGTTGCATATTAAAGTATTTATTAGTCTCATTATTTGATTATCTATATATGTCTGTCTGTCTGTCTGTCTCTCCTTTCCCATCATCTCAATTTTTCTTTTCCCATTCATGGCTCTTTCTTTACCTCTCTCTCTCATTCTCCCAGTGTGCCTATCTCTTCTTTCTAGACATTTTTCTTCACCTCTCCCCTCTCTCCTTTCTCTTCTGTATTTTCTTTATTCATCTCTCTCTCTCTTTCTCTCTTCCTTCTCGTCTATCTCCTTCATTATTCACTGTTCTCTCTCGCCTCATCATCCCGTCATCCCACCCACCCACCCCCTGGCGGTAAATAACAGGGATTAACGGCGGGAGGTGACGATGAGCAGGAGGAGGACGGCAGTGCTGGCGATGGCAGTGAAGGATGGCAGCCGTCGAGCCGTCCTCTTGTCAAAATAGTTTGTTTAGCTCGTATGGTCGGTGAGGCAGTACGGTCGCTTATGATACTTTACCCTGCCCTCTACACACACACACACACACATACACATACATACATACATACATACACATACATATACATACATACATACATACATCTGGGGAGGGGAGAATGATATAGGGATGGATGGAGGATGGATGGTGAGGAATGGATGGAGGAGATGGAAAGGTGTGGATAGGAGGAAGGGGAGAGATGATGTGGATGGAAGGGAATGAGGAAGGGAAGGAAGGGATGGGGAATGGATGGAGGGAGGGAAGGAGGAGAATGAATGGAGGTGGAGAGTGGAGAGGGATGGATGGAAGAATCTCTCTTAAAATGTTTTTTATTGTTGACTTAGTTGTATTTGTATAACATCACCTAACCCAACCCTAACTTGACAGCAACCCAACTAAGCTGTTGGCCAGGCCTGGAGTAGCGGTGGCCCAATAGTTTATTGTTGACCTGGCAGTTGTGGTGATGGTTGACCTGTTTGTTGGTACGTTGGCTGGTGGTTTGGTTTGGTTTGGGCCTAGCCCAGCCTAACCCAGCAAGTGACCCTAACCTATTAACCCAACCTAACGCTTTAACCCTCTAGCTGCAACCTTAACCTAGCAACCCAACCTAACCCTAACCTAACCACTAACTTACCTAACCTAACCTCAACACTCTACAGTACCACAAACACGCATCACAGGACACAACATACATATATACAGACTCAAGGTGCTGACTCACGACACTACCAATTCACAGCCAATTTGTCTATTAATTAGCGACGCCTAGAACGTGATGGCAAGCCTGTCTGAGGAGGGAGGGAGAAGGGAGCTGGAGAGGAGAGAGAGGGAGGGGGGAAAGGGAGAACTGGAGAGGAGAGGGAGAGAGGCTGTGTCCCCTCCCCGTGGCGTGGGTTGAAAAGGCCAACTCAGGTTACCGTCGGCACTCCACCACAAACCTCACGAATCTCACCCAGACCTTGGATTCGGCTCCTGGGGAATCGAAAGAGACGACTTCCTTTTATTATTATTATTTATTTTCTATATCTATAATCTAACGCCCTTCTGCTCACAGGATTTTCTGCTGCGTCTCTGTTATCTCATCTATGGAGGAGGAGGGTGGTGGGGAGGTGAGGGAGAGGGGTGACAGGAGGAGGTGAGGTGTGAGGGTAGAAAGGAGGTGTTAAAGCGAGGGATGTTTCTCGCAAGGGTGTCAGGGCTCACACCTCCGTCACCCCTACCCATGTGACCTGTGGCCTGGTAAGGAGGCACTCTCTCTCTCTCTCTCTCTCTCTTCTTACTGAGTGCTTATACTCTTTGGAGGGAGGAAGGAGGAGAGGAGAAGGAGAGAGGAAGGAAATATTAAAAAGAAAGGATAGTAAGAGAAAGTGAAGAAGGAGAGATAAAAATATATAAGTAAATAGAAAAGAAAGAAAGAAAGGGAGACATTCCTTGGTTTGGAAGTTGACAGAGACAAGCGTGAAGAGAGTTGATGAAGGGAAAGATGAGATAGAGAAAAGAAAGAAAAAGGAAGGAGGAAAGAAGAGTCATCGATAATGGAAGAAAAGAGATAGAATTTTAGGGCGAAAGGTTGAGGGTCTGTGACAAAAAAGAGAATTGGACAAAGATCTAAAAGACTTTGATGGGAACTATATCTTTTTACTACTAATTCCATTCTGTGACCTTGAACTTTGACCTTTTATTCCCCCATTGGGAATACTCATTATAACTACCCCCATTAAAGTCCATTATAACTACCCTCATTAACAGTAGAGTCCATATAACTACCCGATTAATATTACCCATTAGAGTCCATTATAACGCCCTCATTAAGAGGTCCATTATAACTACCCATTAATATTACCCCATTAAGAGAGTCCATTATGACTACCTTATTAGAGGGAGTCATTATAACTACCCCATTAAGAGAATCCATTATGACTACCCCATTAATATTACCCCATTAACATACTCGATTATAACTACACCATTACGAGCACCCCATTTAAAACACGACCCATGACAAATCACGTCAACTCATCCTCTAAAACACGAATTTCGGGGCCAATCAGTGAGCATTAATTATCAGTTTATCACCCATTTACCATTAAAGATATACCTCATTAACCCTTAACTAACTAAGGCACCTCAACACCTCTATGGTAATTAATTGAGGACATGAAGGTATATAAAGGCAGGAGGAGGAGGAGGAGGGAGGGAGGAGGAGGAGGGAGGAGGAGGAGGAGGGAGGAGGGAGGAGGAGGAGGAGA